CGTGGTGGGAGGCCCAGGAGGTGAGGGTGGTTCCAGAAGGGGGAGTTGTTACTGCAGACAACCAGCCATTACTCGGGCGACTTGCATTTGGCTTTGCACTTTACCTAAAGGAGAAGCTGGAGGCGGTTGAGGGCACATGCAGAGTAGTGACCGGGAGTCCCTGGGTGGAACCGAGTCTATTCAGAGGCGCCTTGGAAGAAAAGCCTGGAGCTCTGCTTCCTAAAGGTTACACAGCCTTGAAAATCCTTGGGAGCATTTCTACTCTCCTCCACACAGCACCATGAGTAGGAATGGTCTTGGTGGCAAAGGGTTAGGGAGTCCTTGGTAGTACAAATGGTTAGGGTTGGGCTGCAACCCAAAAGGCTGGCTGCTGGAGTCCACCTCAGGGCACCTTAGAAGGCATGGTGGTCCTGCTTCTGAAAAAGGGGGGCGGTGAGGCATAGGCAGCCCGCCAATGCTGCAGCGTCTCTTCTAAAACCCTCTATGGGGGTGATACTCGGGTGGCAGCTGAGTATGGGGACACAAGGTGGCAGGCTCACCCGGCAGTTGTACTTAGAAAGATGGACAGGACATGTGGGGGGTGACACCAGAGCCCCGTCTGTGGCTCCCGAGAAGTGGCAATGCGGCCTTATTCAGCAGTCGGAAGCAGGTGTTCTAGGTACACGATTCTCACTGCCTGGGTGTTGTCAGAAGGCGCCCTGTGGATGTCAGGATGAGGTGCATTGGTGGCCAGTCAGCTGCTGAATCCAGGATCCATCCTGGCGCTGAGCACGGTCAGCGGGCAGTGGGGTACCTGGTGGAGAGGGGCTGGGGGTTCTCTGTCATTGTGGCGGGAAAACAAGTTCTACAGGTGTGGGTCCCTGTTCCTGGCTAGGGCTCGTAGACGGGAGACGCTGAGCGGTACTATCAGAGGACGCGGCCGGCTGTGTGAACAGTGCTGGCGTTTCAGGCCCAGTTCGCATTCTCTAGGGCCCACCCACGCCTTCCCTTCCCTCCTCACGCTGTCCTTGTCTAACTGCGGGCCCAGTGAATCAATTGCCTCGTGTTTGGAATGGGGGTGCCACAGACACCGTCTTAGGGAGAGGCTTTGAGTGGTCCCAAGCTGGAGCCTGGAAGTAGTGCTCCTCAAATAGGGGGCTTTTCGGGATCTCTGGAATTAGCCAGTGCGGAGGGGCGGGCAGAGGAAGCAGTATGGACTTGGTAGTGTGCCCTTCCATGGTCTGTGACCTTGAGCAAGGCACTTTGACGTCCTTGGCCTCCATCCCCACCCCCCCAGGTCTAAATGGGGATGAAATCCTGAGCCCCCCTGCCTTCTCCTAAGCACAACTGCCACGTTATTGGTATTATTTCCCATTAAGGGAAGGTTATGTGTGTGTGTGTGTGTGTGGTCACTGCCAAAGTCTGGGTTCAAATCCCACCTCTACTCATCAGATTGGTAAATTGAGCCATTCCTGAGACTTGCTGACTGGGACACAGAGGTAGTGCATTTACCTTGTGTGTGAGGGAGGATAAGTCAATGGAAAACACATTCTTTTCAATCCTCCCAAGATCCTGGTGAAGTACAACTATCTTGTAGGTGAAGGGATCAGACATCAGAGAAATCAAGTGACTCTGCCCCAAGTTTATACAAGAGGTTTGTGTTCTGTGGACAGCTCTCCAAAGGCTGGCTCCAGACCAGGGAACCTTTTGTTGCTAACATAGTATTTGATGGTGTCAGCAGAATGCACTTAGAGCAGTGGCTATCCACTGCAGTGGTGGACTTTGTTAGGTCCATAGATGGAACAAGGGTGAACCTTGATACAAACTATGCTTTGATTGGTCAATTCCAATGCATGGAGACGTCACGTGACGGGGATCAGGTCTTTTCTCCCAGAGTCACTGCTGACATGGTTCAGGTATCAATAGAAGTGATTCTAACTCACAGCCATCTGAAAGGACATACAGCTGCCCCCCAGAGTTTCCAAGGCTGAACATTTTTAAGGAAAATCACTTCTTCCAAGGAGTTGCAGGTGGTTTTTAATCACCCACCTTATGGTTAGCTGCCAAATGATTTTGACAACTGTTCCGTAACTACTGTTGTTAGCGCCGTGGAGCATCTACTTGGTGCCAACTAGACTCCCTATGAAGGTTTTTAAGACTGTAAATCTTTATAGGAGCAAAGCTTTGCCTCATCATCTTTCTACCTGTGGAGTGGCTGCTGGGCTTGAAGTGCTGACCTTGTAGTTAGCAGTCCAGTGTTTATCCTACACACCACCACCAAGGTTCCTGATGAAAACTAGAGTTTAGTAAATAATGTGTTAAAACATTGGCTCATTTCGAACAAATTTACCACAAGGATGATGTAAATAGGAGAAAAGTGTATGTGGATGGAGGGAGTATCTAAGGAAATTCATTGTACTCTCACAATTCTCCTCAAAGCCTAAAAATACACTTAAAATCTCACACTCACAGCCATCTAGTCCAATCTGACTTGTTTGTTGTGATGAATAGCGACGCTGTATAGGGTTTCCAGGAACAGTTGGTGGGTTTGAACCACAAGGTTCAAAGTGACCTTGCGGTCCAGTGCTTTCTCCTAGAGCAGCCCACCAGGACTCCAAGGGTCTGACTGAGACTTTACAAGAGCAGACCACCTCATCTTTACACTTAGCGGGTTTGAACAGCTGGGCTTTCGAGTTAGCAGTCCAACACCTAACTCATACCACCACCAGGGATCCTTCACGACCTCAGTTCATCAATCACTAGAGAAATGAAAACTAAACCACAGTAGATTAAAATTACACAAGAGTTACACTGGCCAGACTAGGTACTGGCAAGATGCAGAGGAACTGGAATGCTTTCTCATACACTGTTGGTGGGAATGCAAAGGATGGGATCACTCTGGATTACGGCTGGTAAGTTTCTTCAAGACTCAAACATTCACTTACCTTGTGACATGAACGCAGCCTTCAGAGACATGAGAATGAGAGCAATGATATAGATCCACATAAGAAAAAGTATGCCTATGCTCATAACAGGTTTATTCGTAACAGCCAAAACCAGGAACAACTCAAATATCCATTGACAGACGACGAATGGATCAACAAATCGCGTGTGCATATACACAAAACAGACTAGTTACTCAACAATAAAAAGAATCAAGGCGTCACAGAAGCAACATTGTTCAATCTCAAAAGAACTATGCAGTATGAAGGAAATGGGGGTACAGTGGGTTGGAGGAAGAGTCAGCATCTTAAATTTTCAGTTATATAAACTTCTAGGAAATAGAAACTAATCTATTGTGGAAAATAAAGAGGAAACAGGCAGTTGCCTGAGGGCTGGGGAGAGCAGGAAAGATTCAGAGTGGGCCTGAGAAAATGTGGTGCTGACAGGGGCATTCATTATCATGCGTATGAAGATTTCACAGGTTCATACTTACATCAAAATTATCAGTTATAACTCAAAGCCTTTTGAAAAGGGTTCAAAGTAAAAATTAAAAAAAAAAAAAAAAGTTTTCCCCTCAGAAAACGAGGTTGGGCAATTCCCTAACTGCAGCATCATTGCTCACGCCTGGGGAAAGGCAGCCCCGTGTTACGGGCAGGAAACGCATTGAGGACCATTTCCATCTGAGGCAACAGGCACACTGGCCAGGTTACAAATGCCACAAGCTGGTTAACGGTATCTCCATTTTCTGTGACCTCATTTTCCAGTAGCGCACAGTCTGAATCCAGAAACCTTTTAGATTTTTGGCTCCGTTGTGACCAAAGCTCCAGGGGAAGATGTGGGCTTGGGGGTGCCCAAGAACTTCAGTTAACACTAATGCTGCACAGCCACCGTCGTCTCTGGAACTATGTTGATACACATGTAGAAGAGGCACATTCACGCTTGTTTATTTGTACCCCTGATTCCTATACATGACACCTAAAATCTTGGCACCAATTATCATTTGCATCTGTGATGCGAGTTGGCTGAATTTTGGATACCAGGGGCATCTATCTTGCTCCTTGGTGGAATGTGGAGATTTGTCACATAGCAAGGACATATTATGTGATGTCCCCTAGGAACACGGAGACATAGTCTTGCTGTCCCTGGAAGCACTAGCAGCTATTACAACAGCGGCCCCCTTTTCAAAGCATCCTCTGGGGGTGCAATAAATCCTGGCATCCAGGACAAAGTAGGACTACGAGGTCCCACAGTCTTTTCCTAGGAGGCCTGGGCAGCCACACACCCGAGGCCTCAACTGGAAGGAAAACTACTCTCTGCCATCACACTGTCTTGTTAGGGAAAACAAATATGCGGGCACAGAGAAAAGCTGTTCATCTATTCCTACTAACAGAACCCTAGTCTGTTTTCAAGCTACACTACAGTTAACATGAGCCCCCAACATCAAAGGTGGCTGAAAACAGTAAGGCCTTTATCAGTGCACAATCCAGAGCAATGGATGGGAAGTATTTCTTGGTTGGTAACTTGGATCGAAAAATAAATCAGAAGCATCCCAGGAGACCAACATGGCATGAAGAGGGCGAACCTTTCAAGGCAGCTGCAGGCAGAACCCAAACTGAGTCCTCTTGCTCAAAACCAGATTAAGTGCCATGCCTTAAAAGTTCAGATTCCTCCAAGGAAGGCGAGAGAGCACAGACTTCTACCATTCCTGAGGACAGTGGGGTAACCTGCTAGGTGGTGCTTTTGATGGCTCCTGCCACATAAATTGGCAGTGACATTTCTGGCAAGGACCTAGGCAGGTTAGAACTTTGTGCACCTAAATCTCATCATAGGAGAATGTCCCACTGTAGGGTTCGTTCAGGCATAGGAGGGTCAACTTCAAGCTTTCAAAAGTCCGTCACATGGGCAATGAACGAGACAGCACATTCCCTGCAGGCCTGAGGTCTTTCTCCTGGGTGTGGTTTCTGGAACTGAAGATTTTCCCACATTTGCTACACTCTTAAGGCCTCTTTCTGGTGTGAAGTTTTTGGTGATGACGTTGGAGAACTGGCTAAAGAGTATGTATGCTGTTTTGACAGCATTCATAGTGCACTTTCCAAGGCAAATTCTCCAGAAAACTCATCATTGAACTCTTCATTGAAATCTCCGGCAAACTCTCCACTGAACTCTCCAGTGTGAACTCTTCGGTGCCGAGTGAGGGTGGAGTTTCGGATGAAGGATTTCCCACAATCGCTGCACTCATAAGGCCTCTCTCCTGTGTGAACCCTCTGGTGTTCAATGAGGCTGGAGACTCGTCTATAGGCTTTCCCACACTCGCCACACTCATAAGGCCTCTCTTCTGTATGAACTCTCTGATGTTCACTAAGGATGGAGCTTCGGCTAAAGAATTTCCCACATTCACCACACTCATAAGGCCTTTCTCCTGTGTGAACCTTTTGGTGTTCAATGAAGTTGGACCTCCGGCTGAAGGATCTCCCACACTCAGCACAATCATAAGGCCTTTCTCCAGTGTGAACGCTCTGGTGTTGCATAAGATTGGAGATTTGGCTAAAGCATTTGCCACACTGATCACACTCATATGGCCTTTCTCCTGTGTGAACCCTCTTGTGAAGTGTGAGCTTGGAGCTTTGTTTAAAGGATTTTCCACATATGCCACAGGTATAACGTGCATATCCGATTTCTCCGGTGTGGCTCCTCTGGTGTTCAACAAGGTTGGAACTTCGTGTGTAGGATTTCCCACATTCACTGCACTCATAAGGCTTTTCTCCTGTGTGAATTCTCCAGTGTCTGATGAGTTCAGCCGTGCGCTTAAAGGTCTTCCCACATTCGCTGCACTCATAGGGCCTTTCTGCGCTGTGAGTTATTTGGTGTTTGACAAGGATGGAGATCTGGCCGAAGAACTGCCCACATATACCACACTCATAAGGCCTTTCTTGAGAGCCAGTTCGTTGCCTCTTACAGCGCCCACACTTGCAGCTGACAGTAGGGTGCCCGCACTTATTACAGTTATAAATGCCTTTCCCAGCACATAAGTTCTGGGGCTGGATAAGTGTGTGCTCATGGTTGAAGGTGTTCCCACATTCACCCCACTGGTACTGACTGCTTCCACTGTGAAAGGCTTCCCCACACTCAATGCCAATGTGTTGCTTCTCACTGCTGGGCACAGCCTGGTGAGGGAGCAGCCCTGAAGTCGCTGGAAGGTCCATCCCAACCTCTTCACAGGCGCCTGTTCCTGACACATGGAATATACAGCTCTTCACAAATGTGGCCCTGTCCATGGCACTTGGCCGAGGGTCTCCTCCACTGTCCTTTTTTTTTGCTGGAGTAAGCTTACATGGAACCAGAAGTAGGTCATACAGACTCCTCACTCAAGAATGGTTTCTTTCCAAAGTAGGCGGCTTGCTGCTGCGTAAGCGTCTTTCCAGATGGGACACACACCTCACTACTCACAGGGGTATCTTCAGGACTAACCTGTGACAGTCCTTGCATACACGCTGCCCAGAAGGTGTCTCTTCAGTGTCCCTTCCATGTCAAACCTGAAAGTAGAGAAACCCTGATGAGATTATGTTGACACCGTGGGAAAGAATTCCAGCACATATGTGCGTCTAAGGAATGAGTACATGGGTCATTTCTGAGGATAAGGGAATTGGGGCAGGTTTGAGCAAGGCACTGCTTTACAGCACTGGGCTCTTGAGTCCACTTTGACTCACAGTGACCCCATGTGACAGAACAGACCTGCCCATGAGGTTTTCTCCAGTGGAGGTGCTGTGTGGGTTCCAATAAGGCTTAATTAACTGTTGTGCTACCAGGGCGCCTTCATAAATCTCATGCATGGGGTGCAGATATGTTCAGATGCAGGAAAATATAACTGCACTGAGTAACTGGTGTTCCACAACTGTGAAGGGCACATGTGTGGACTAATGCTGGAGAAAGATGTCCTGTGGCATAATGGCTAAGTGCCAGTTGCTAGAAGCTGTTGGTTCAAACCCACCTCGCATTTCCACAGAAGACATGGCAGTCTGCTCCTGTCAAGACTTCACTACTTTTGCAAAAAACCATGAAGTGCAGGTACATATACATATGCAGGCATGTGTGTATGCCCACTGCATGAGTCCATTCCAACTCATAACAACCTTATATAGGGTTTCTGAGACTGTAAATCTTTATGGGAAAAGTCTCAGCTTTCTCCTAAGCATGTGTGTACAAGTATGTATATGTGTTTATATACACCCACACACACACATATATATGCAGCCTTCAATAATCAAAATTAATACAGGCAGACAAAATCCCCAACATACCTTGAGGGGTGGGAAAAATTTTATTTCCAGAGTTAACACATTATAATATTCAGATGTCCTACTTTCAACAACAAAGGTTAAAAGAAACAGGAGGAAATGGCCCATTCAAATGAACAAAATAAACTGACTGGCATCCAGACATGGAACTCATCAGATAAAGACTTTACAACTTTTTTTTAAAGAGCTAAATGAAAACAGAGAAGGAAACTGGAAAATATACAAATAAATGTGACCATAAAGAAGGAGGAGTTATAAATAGGAACCATACAGAAATACTGGAGTTTTATCATATAATAAAAAAATTTTATTTCAGGAAGGTTCAAGGGTTGATCCAAGTAGTAAACTTGAAGATAAGACAACGGGAATTCTTGAGTTTGAGGAGAAAAAATAGAATGAAAAGAGGACAGACTTGTGGGATTTACCAACAAGTGGACTAAAATACATATCGGCTGAGTAACAGAAAGAGAAGGAGAGGAAAGTGTATTTGAAGAAATAATATCTGGATAACTCCCCAAATTTGATAAAAGATGTGAATCTGTAGTCAATGAATTCAAAGAATAAACTCAAACATATCCCCACCCAAACACATTATAATTAAACTGTCCAAAACCAAAGAGAAAATCGTGAAGAATTTATATAAGAAGTGTGTCAGGTTGGAAACCCTTACCCCAAGCCACTCTACAAGCCCTAATCTTGCTCCAGACTTTGAGCAAGCTCAAAGAACGGTGAAACAACAGGGAAAGGGCCTTGATCTGAGTCCATCAATGATGCCACTGTGACATGGAGTCAATCCAAGACTGCATAAGGGTTAAAGAAATGGAAACACCGCTTCTACAAGTGTACCCACCTAGATGGAAGACGGAGAAACAAGAGCTTCATATTTGATTATTTTTAATAAAAGTTTCTATAAAATTTACAGCAGTATTTTTTTATTTACCCTCACTGCCATCAAAGTCAATCTGGACTCATAGTGACCCAGTATAGGATTCTGGAGACTAAATCTTTATGGAAGTAGACACAGAGCTATTAGTGGTTTTGAACTGTTGACCTTGCAGCCCAATGCCTAACCCACAGCATCATGTAAAATAAAGGGGGGAGGGGAATTCCATTAAGACTAAGTCAATAAAAAGCATTCTGGAAAAGCATTCCAGAATAAAATAAAAATAAAAAGCAGAAAAAGCATTCTGGAAAAAATCAACACCCTTCCATAATAAAAATATATAGCCACCTAGGAGTAGAAGCAGCAGCTCTGGTAGCATAGTGGTTACGAATCGGGCTGCTAATCTCACGGTCGGCAGTTTGAAACTACCAGCTGTTCCGTGAGAGAAAGATGAGGCTTTCTGCTCCCGTAAAGATTTACAGCCTCGGAAACCCTGTACAGGGTCGTTATGAGTCAGAACTGACTCCACGGCACATAACAACAACAACAACAGCAGCAGAAGGGAAATTTCTCAATACAATAGAGCATTAAAAAAAATCCCAAACAATTAACACCACACTCAGTGGTGGAAGACTGAAAAAATTTCCCCAAGATCAGGAATAAGGCAAGGATACTTACTTTTGACAAAGCTATTCAATAATCGTTGTTAGCTGCCGTAGAGTTGATTCCGAGTCATAATGGCCTTATACACAACAGAACAAAACACTGCCTGGTCCCATACCATCCTCACAATCGCTGTTAAGCTTGAGCCCAATCAATAATTAGGCAATAAAAAGAAACTGGACCCCCCCCACCCCAAACAACAACAAAAAACAGGGAATGGAAATAAACACTGTTGAACACTGACGCACGGAGGAGATTGTAATCATTGCAATGAAACGATGGTGTAAAGCCGATGCTTTCCCTTGTAAATTATCACTCAGTTCACAATAAAAGCTTAAAAAGAAAAAAGCAAGGGACTTCATAGGTGATCTGCTGGGCCAGTAAAGTTCAAGGCATAGAGTTCAGCTCACAAGTTATGGCAACTGTATTTTAAGTCTTTAAAGGGATAGTCTTCTTGTAGATTTTCCTAACAGGCACAGAAAAAAAATCATGGTTTAATATGAAGAAGTTTTAAAAAAAAATGAAAACTACGTTGGTTAGTAAAAGACTAGGAAAGCTGTGCCAAGGAATTACTTTCTCCATCATTACTATGTACCTGCTCATGCTTTGAGGGCAGCAAGGGCTGTGCTATGAACATTTCCTAAGGAAAACTTACACCTAGTTGGAAGCCTTACTCTCATTTCAATTTATTATTTAGCTATGGTTTCTGTTTTGCCAGTATTTCATGTGTTATTGTCTGATTTCTTCAACTTGACTGTAGATTCACTGAAGACAGGAAACTGTAGTGTTAAAAGCACAGATTTTGGGGCCTTGGTAACATTTTCTGACTTTGTGCAAGCAACTTAACTCTCAGTTTTCTTCATCTGTCAATGGGGTTAATAACAATCCCCTCAATTGTTTTAAGAATTACACGAAAATGTGTACGTAAACGTTAGCACAGATGCTGGCATATATTACGTATTCAAAATTTTGATTCTATAAGAATTTTGTGGTTGATTTGTCAACTGACATCTGGGATGTGAAAATGATGTTTTATATTTGTATTTTCATTTTAGATTGTGCCCTTTGGTTGTTTACATTATTATATATTCCTGAGTGTGTTCATGTATATCTCCCAACCCCACCCCTTAAAAAAAAAAAAAGTAAAACAGAGAATGAAAGCAAATACTGAGTGACGATGCATGGAGGCTATCATGATCACTGCAATGAACGATGGCATAAAGCTGATGTTCTCCCATGTAAACTAGCACTCAGTTCACACACACACACACACACACACACACACACACACAGTAATGCTGAGTTAAGAGTGCAACAACCTTTGACACCAAAAATACGTAATGACATCACTGTGGAGGTTACTTTTACAGAATGCCATTCAATGAATTAGCATTGTGTTCTGCTTTTACTGTCTTATTAAATAAAAAAGAAGAAACTGGAAAGGGAGAAGTGCAACTCTCTCTATTCAGATAAAATGATCCAATATGTATAAAATTCCAAAGAATCCTTACAAAAGCCAGTAGAGCAAACAAATAGTATCTGTAAATTTGCAGGGTACAAAATAAAAACAAAAATTAGTTCCATTTCTATATGCCACTAATGAAGAATGGAGTCCTGGTGTGGTGCTGAAAGATAAGCACTGGACTGCTAACCAACACTCCCTGGACACTCTACACAGGGTTGCTATGAGTTGGAACTGACTGAACAGCACTTACCAACAACAATCAACAATAAAGACTATGAAAAGAAAGTTAAAGTCAATCCACGTAACAAAAGCATCTAAAAGAATATAATATCTTGAGATAAATTTAACCACAAAAGTGAAATATATGTATAGGCAGCCCCCGGATTATGAACTTTGGATGTACAACACATCACTACAAACCCATCGTCTGTTCTTCCCTCTCACTCCCAAACTGGATCCTATTAAGTAATTCAGTGATAATGGTATAATTTTGCTTAGAACCAGCATATTTCCAAGTTGTGACGGCAGAGCATGAGTCATGTGTGCTGGCTGCATCATGGTTCTAGTCACCGTTCATTCTGAATGAAGAGGCAACTGTGACTCTTTAGGTTCCTCCCCACAGCCTCACATATTTCAAGTACGGCTTGCCTACCTACTTCTGCTCTGCCTGCACCCCCACGCCCTGCTTTTTCCTTTGCCAAAGTATCCAAATTTGTGGCAAGGTTTGGGAAAGGGAATGAAGTTTGTTCCAGTGTATGATGGATGAGGCCGAGGATGAGGGTGAGATGAAAGCCCGCGAGTGGCTTTTAAGCTGAATTGCCAACACAAAACGTGAATGGCAGTGCCATTTGTGTGTCTCATAATCAGCACCAGCCCTTGTTACTATTATGAGTTAAAGAAGGCTCAGTCTAAGTCAGGGACCCTTCCCCAAGAGGGACTGCTTCTAAGCTACAAATAACTTGATCTGCC